AGGGTGTTTGGCTGTTGCTGTTCGACCGGAAGGAAGAGAGACGAGAAAGAGAAGGGTCGCCGCCCTTTTCCTGTTGCTGGAGAATCACCCACCTCCGGTGACTAAGCTAATTAATTGCTATTTAGTGCCACTTGTGCTTCCACATCAGCAAAACCTGTAGAATCCGGTGAAAAGGACATAATATGTACATATTAATAAAGTATAAGGGTTTATTTTACAAAAAAAAAAGAATAAGGACTAAATATGTACAATTCAAAAAGTATGTTATCCTATCAAGTCATTTTCCCTAAAAGAAAATCCGTATATGACCGGTATACCGGGTATAGCCGGTCACAAGGATTACATTGTTACAAAAAATAAAGTATAAGAGTTTATTTAAAAAAAAAAAGAATAAGGACTAGGACATTTCAAAAAGTATCTTAGGCCGTGTAACTTATCCCTTATTTTTTTCTTTCCTTCCTTCATTCGAACAAGAAGACATACCGAAGAATTCAAATCATCCATCCGAGTCGGCAAGTCACCGGCAATCAAATTTAACATTAGATCCACTGCCAGAATCCGTCTAATTTTCCCGATCATCTGATTTCTCAGTTCTTCGTCGAGTGTAAGGTACGTCTTATTTGTACTAATTATGCTTTGGTAGTTGATCATATACGTGACTCGATCAAAATCGATCCGCTGATTATAATATTGATTAACAGGTAAAGTGAGATTTGATATTTATCCGTTTGCCTTTTCAATTAGTGTAATTCTTGTTTGATTCCGTTTACGTGAATTGAAGATTTGCTGCCGAGGAGATGAGTGATGTATTTGAAGGTTACGAACGCCAATACTGCGAGCTTTCGGCTGGATTGTCGAAGAAGTGTACATCGGCTAGTCTTCTCGATGGAGGTGAGCCAAAACCCTAACCCGATTCACAATTTCTTTCCCAATTATGTATTTGGCGTTGATATAATGCACTTAGGCATGTTCTGGATTCTTCGAATCATGATGTAACATAATTTTCAACTTCCTCACCAGTTATGTTGATATACGTACCAAATTAGATTTCTTCAGCATCAACTGGCCTCTTGATTGAATTTTTTTTAGAAGCGACATAATCTATTGTTCTTCCTCTGGAGAACTCTATTCTTTGCAACTACTGGTTAGATAACACAAGGAGAGAAGGATAAATTTTGTTCATTTATTCTCATATTTGTAACTACTGTTGCTTGTTTCCTATTTTCTTTCTCTACTCTTCAATATCCCATGGCTTCCACACATTAAAGTCGGTTTCACTTTTGCTTCATATGTGTTGATTTCAATTTCATTGTTGAATTGCAGAGCAAAAGAAGCAGAAAATTTCTGAAATAACAGCTGGACTCGAACAAGCTGAAGCTCTGGTATCATATTTGCATGTTATTGTTGCGAAATAGTTTTTCAAACACACATTACAGATTAAAGTTATCTTTTTATATTGCTTCAGATACGCAAAATGGATCTAGAGGCAAGAAGCTTGCAGCCAAATGTGAAAGCTGTGCTCCTTGCTAAACTAAGGGAATACAAATCTGATCTGAATAATTTGAAGAGTGAAGTTAAACGACTTGCATCAAACAACTTAAATCAAGCTGCAAGAGATGAGTTGTTGGAATCAGGAATGGCAGATGCATCATCGGTATGCAAGTTTTTGCTATTATTTAGTTGAAATTAAAAATTTCCTTTAAAAACTACATCTGTTTTAAAATGGAACATGACCCTTTAATATAATCGAGATGTAGGACTTATTAAAAAAGTAGGATGCTATAATCAACATTCAACAAAGTAATGAAAAATGTAGGTTGGTATTTGTTGCATTAAAGCCTTACAAATTGCTGATGTCACAGGTTTCAGCAGATCAAAAAGCAAGACTTCTTATGTCAACAGAGAGATTGAATAAAACAAGTGGTAGAGTAAGAGACAGTAGAAGGACAATGCTGGAAACTGAAGAGCTTGGGGTTTCAATTCTTCAAGATTTAAATCAACAACGACAGTCTCTCTTGCATGCCCATGGAACGGTATGTCTTTTAACAGTATTTACATGAGTAAAAATGACCATTTTACCCTTGTTTAAGACACCAACATAACAAGTTAGAAGCAATTTGAACACATTCCTAAACTGATTCATAAAACTATTATGTTAACATGTGTTGATAAATATGATTATATTTATCAACAATCAATTTGAACAATTTAACCACATTCATCAACAAATAAGATAAACAAATTCACAGTTTTCACATATTCATCAACAACATGAAGCTCCCTGTATTTGTGATAGGTAAATAATTTAAGGTTCTATACCCTCTCCAAAACAGAGGCTAGCCTACAAGACAATGGGACAAATTTTGGAATAAATGATATGTAATAATTACACATAGATACAAACACATGTGTCTCATAAATAATTAACTTTATGATTATTATTTTTTTTATCATTTTTTTTCTAAAACTCTAAATTGGCATCAACAACACCGATTAAGTTTGTGCTCCGATAAGCTATATATTGGTGTTCATTTTTTTAACTTAATGTAGAAAGAATGACTTAATAGAGAGAGAATCAAGGAAATGAGGCTTTTCCCATCAAGTCTCAAACTTTTTAAAATTGCCCTCATTTATTTTTTCTTTCCATTTCCCACAAGTATGCTGTCATTTTCTCAAATATTTTTTATATATCATCTATTCAGACATCGGTTAACGAAAAATTAAATGGCCTAATTGTATTTAACTCTTAAAAATTGCGGTCATTTATTAACCCCCTTCATACGATTATATTTAATTCTTAAAACTTTATTATTTTTTGACTAATTAATTTGTTTCGTTTTAATCTTCAGTATTAAATATTAAATTTGAAATGGCTATATTTTTTTAGAACGGAAAACACACACACACACACTGATCCTACTTGTAAATCTACACTTCTGTCCACCACAGGACTTGAACAATCAATCATTTGGGGAGGGACACCTTAACAACACACCTTGATACTACTAAGCCAAAGGCCCTTTGTTAAATTTGCAACGGCTATATAATAATTTTATAACTATGTACATAATAAATTTATCATTTTTTTTTATTTAAAGAAATTACCTAACATAATTTTCCTGTTAGTTTCGTTTGCTTATTGCATTTTATGTTATCTAAGTATCAAACGAGATATTGTTGGTGATTGTATGTCAAAAAATATTAAACCTACTTAAAAGTAACAAATTAGATGAGGGAGCTTTATAAAACATTTCACAAAGATGAGGGTAAATTAATTATTTCTAAAAAAAAGTTTTTTAAAGTGGGCAATGATTGGTGAACTTTTATGATGATAAGTTTTTGTTAAATAAATTAAGTTGAAAATATGATGTGGCAAAGCAAAAAAGTTATACAAGAGGTCAATACCTATGGATACTCTTAAGTTGTTGGACGCGTTTCATTTATGGCTAATTTTGTTGTTTTTTTTAATTATTTTACCTATTTTGACATATGATATATTTACGATATTGCCATTCTGATATTTAGCTTCATGGAGTTGATGACAACATAGGCAAAAGCAAAAAAATCATGACCAACATGTCGCGAAGGATGAGCAGGAATAAGTACATAATCGGGTCCATAGTTGCGGTTCTTGTTATTGCCATCGTCTTGATCCTCTACTTCAAATTGAGGAAGTAGATTCTCAATTTCAAGTAAAGCTATTTTATTTTATTTGATACTCAAGAGTGTTTCCCAACTCATTTGTTGGCTTTTGTTATTCTTGCATGTGTGCTCTTCCTTGTGGATTTGTGATATTTAATTTCTATTCAAAACATGAAAATCCAAAAAAAAAAAAAAAAAAAATCAACTTTTATGCCTTTTACACTCTTGTATTTCTTATCGGTTTTTCATAATGGAAGTTCTTGTTAACATATCACTATGGCTTAGTTTTGTTACATTGGATTGGACAAGCTGTTTAGGGCTATGTTTCCCTAAAAGAAGTGAAAAAGCTACTACTTAGAATGTACAATGAAAGCTACTCTTACTTGTGTTAAATTGAACCATCATTCTCTATTTTATTAAACTCCCTTAAAAAATCAATTAACAACTCTTTCTTGACATTTTAATTGTGTTTTATACACAAGTATCTCTACAAAAAGAATGGCGAAGCTCGATCAATTTGCAATGTACAATTATCAAAAGTGCATAGTTTATACAATTAACAACTCTTGACATTTTAATTGTGTTTTATACACAAGTATCTCTACAAAAAGAATGGTGAAGCTCGATCAATTTGCAATGTACAATTATCAAATGTACAATTATCAAACGCGCATAGTTTATACTAATTTCCTCATTTGTTCGTTCTTGAATTTGCTATAATCGGCAAGCAAACTACCATTCACTTTATCCTTCATGTTCTCCACCAATCGTGTCAACACCTATCACCAAAACATTCATTATACAATAAAAGACATACTTACATTTTTTACACATAATAGCAACTTACTTACATTATTTTACCAATAACAACAAATCTACATTTTCTTTATACAAAACAACATACTTACCATCCTATTTTGTAATAGGAGCGCACTTACATTTCTTTACTTATAATAGCAACATGTAACAAGTAAAGAACAAATTTTTCACATAAGTAGGAAAAATGTAAGTATGTTTGCTATTATTAGTAAAAATAAAAGTACAATGCTATTATTGGTAAAAAAAATTGTAAAGTAGGTTGCTATTGGTGTATCATGTTTAAGGTCTAACCGTTTGAGCAACATCTCGGCGAACATCTTCGGGGATCAAACCAAGCACGGGAGGTAATTCAAAAGTTATGGTCAACGTGAGTTGACCTTTTAGTCGACTTAGGTTTCCTTGTCTAAAAGGATACAATGCCCCTTTCACACCAAGCGAAAATTCAGATGGCTTCACAATATCTTCTAGCCCATGAAGCTCCCACCTTATCTAAGATTCAAATTAATTTATATTTTATAACCAACATGTCAAACACAGTCAACACAATCCTAAATCTACTGAGTAAGAGACATATCAGAGGAGCCAAGACTGAGTCAGAGGCTTTTAAGTGTGTTATTAAACAGTCTGATTGAGTCGGATTCAGTAAGAGGCATATCAAACAGTCCCAAAAAAGATTCATCTGCAAAAACTTACAATGTCAAGATCAAGAACTTTGGTGACTTGGGGTGGAACTCCAGGCGGGTAATCGTATCCGTTTGTTTTACATCTCAACCGCATGTCAATAACTGGATTACATGTCAAGAAAAGAAATTGTATAGGCAACATATGTACTCTCCATTCTTCCTACAAAACAGGAAAGTTGAAGCATATTAACCAATTCATTGAGCAAACATTCAATCAAATTCAGAACTGATATCATATTATCATTGATGATTGATGAAATTCAGGTTCAGATAGGAAGAGAATAAGCATAACAAAATTATAGCTTGATGAACATGTAATTTGGTAAAGTAGACAGATACATACGTCATTTAGTTGTTGGCTTCTACGCTTATCAGGAAAAATTGCTTTGAAAACTCTGGGTTTATCCTCCAAATACTGATCGAACGATGCCTGTATCGTGTATCAACCACAACAAAAATCAATTTCTACCTCTAATCACACGAAATCATATGAATATCTGACACAGAAGTAGTATTGATTACGTTAGGGGTTTCATAGAGATAAATATCTGTAGCCATTCGCGAAGAGTAAGTTGAAGCATTCGACACTTTGCACTCAAATCTCCATCGGTTTCGTGAATCTGATAACAATTGGTGTTTGCTCTTCCGCCAATTTTGCTTTAGTAGCTTGCGCTTCAAATCTCCGGTGAAACTGAAATTGGTGGCGGAATTTCTCTGGTGGTAGTTGCATGATCTTAGTACCGGAAGAACCGCCATTGTAATACGAGGATCAGCGGTTAAATAGTGTGCATTTAGGTTTGACAGGGAGAGGATGACGGAGAAAGGAGTCGCTACTGGAAAATGATGCGGTGGTTACGTCGAGCATTATCTTGAAAGGGAATTTGTGGAGTTTAGGTGGCCGGCTATTAGTGGATGAGGAGCTTGCGTGTGGGTGTAGCGGCCACCACACAATACATAAAAGCCTAAGTGTTTCTTAACCTTGAACATTTATAAAAGGTTATTTAAGGCGATGATTTTGTATATAATTAATATTTTTATATGTATTTTCAACTATTATTCTATTTTAGTTCGTGTGTTCGTAGGTTGGATCGCAGCAAATCTATTCCCTACTGCATTATGTGTCCGTTCATGCGTCGACGTCGTTCGATAATGATTTAATCATTCGTGTCGCCATTCTTCGTGAGTTCGTTCTGTCATTCATCACAGAGGGGATAGCGACAAAGGGCTTATTCGATTTTGTTTGTGAGATACTGAGATTATTTAGGGCAAACGCCAAATGTCAAATGGTCAATGGTATCGGGTATCCTATCCTAGTATAAAGTATAAACTTTATAGTGTATTATAATACTTAATACATTTAAAAAATATATAATTTTTTTATTAAAATTCTAAACGGGTTGGCGGGTCAACCCGTATATTTTTTGAGAAACCCATATATGACATGTTTAATAAACAGGTTGGCGGGTTGACGGGTTGAAAAGCTCAACCCAAACCAGTTTATTAAACATCCCAAAAATACGGTCCAAAATTTTCATTTTTAATTATTAATAAAACCATAGCTATCAAACATCACATGAAAATCATAAGTTATTGTTTCTCAAAACATCATAAACATCTGTCAAAACATATCAGAGTAAAAACATCCCAAACTAAAATCATGGTGTGTGCACTGCAGTCATCCCGAGTTCTTCCCCTTGCTACCGGAAGTACCTGAAACCAAAACTAAAAACTATAAGCACGAAGCTTAGTGTGTCTCCCCAAACTACCACATACCATACATATAATCATGCTACTAGGAGATACGAGCCCCACCCACACTCAAGGAGATACGGGCCCCGCCCACACTCCGCTAACTAGGAGATACGAGCCCCGCCCACACTCCGCTGACTAGGAGATATGGGCCCCGCCCACACTCCGCTGACTACGAGATACGAGCCCCGCCCACACTCGGCTAACTATGAGATACGAGCCCCACCCACACTCGGTTAATTATGAAATACGGGCCCCACCCACACTCAACTATTAAGCATACATACAAGTATCACACAGACAACAAGCATAATCAAATCTATCAATCAGTCCTATATCCATACTCAAATAATGCTTATGAGATACGGGCCTCGCCCACACTCAGTTATCTATGAGATACGGGCCTCGCCCAGACTCAGCTACTAAGCAATACACATAACATATACGGGCCGACCTTGGTGCCTTTGACCCATTCAAACCAGGAGGAAACTCACCTCGTAAAGCTGACTGCGAAATCTCGCAGTAAGGAATCTCTAACGGCTGCTCCAACGACTCCCAGCTATCATTATCACAATAACACTTAGTCAAAATCCAATAATCCTTCTTAGGGTAAAAGGACCATTTTACCCCTGGTCAAAGTCAACATTTTGGGTAAACTCAACTCGCCGAGTTGACCCATCAACTCGCCAAGGTCCATAAATCAGAAACCCTGAAATCGCGATCCAACTCGTCGAGTTCTTCACGAACTCGTCGAGTTTCCCCTATCAGCAGAATCGGGACTTTCCAACTCCACTCGTCGAGTCCATCCTGAACTCGTCGAGTCTTTCCTTCTACAGGGTCGGGGCATTTCGACCCAACTCGTCAATTTCCTTTATGAACTCGTCGAGTTCTTCAGTCTGATAAGCTATCTTAATTGATTAAGCTCATATCCTTCAGATCTAAGCTCCATACTTCATATACATACTGAAAATGTCCTTTTAAGGGTAAAGTTTCCAACTTTACCCGTAAATACCCTTCCTTAATGGGTTTAGCTCAAACCCTAACTCATTAAGACCTAGATCCTGATCCAAAAGCCATTAATACCTCAAGCTAAGGCATAAAAACTGAGATCTAGACCCTAGACACTACATGAACACGTAAAGTCTCTGACTTTCTCTCCATGCATGGCCTTTTGGAGCTTAAAAGGCCAAAATGACATCCTAAAGCTTGCATGGGGCTTCAATGGCCATAAAGTTTGCACCTTTATGTCATGAAAACCCTTTAATGTCCTAGATCTGGAAGTATACTCACTTCGGACGTCCATTTCCCAAGGATCAAGGTATTTGGACCAAAAGCCCAATAAAAGTGAAAATGAAGAGATCTAAGAAATCATTAAGCAAGTGTGAGACTTACTTACCAAAAAGTGATGAGGATTGGATGAAGTTTTTGGATCTACTCACTCCTTTCTTGAGTCCTCAAGCTTCTTCTTCTTCCACAAGCTTCAAATACACAAGTTTTCTCTAAAAAAATGACTCACAAGCTCACACAAGGCATTAGGGTTTCGAGATTTAGGGTTTCGGAATTGGAGGTTGTAAATGAGGCCAGCCTTTGGAGGTTAAGGTGTTTAAATAGGGTGCAAAACCCTAAAATTAGGGTTTCACTTTGCCAGTCCTACTCGTCGAGTTGAGGCTCTCAACTCGTCGAGTAGACTTTACAACCCGCGTCTAATTCCATTCCTACTCGACGAGTTTGGGGCCTCCAACTCGCCGAGTTTCTATAAAAAAGCGAATAAATCTTTAATTAAATACATACCAGGAACTAGGCGTTGTAGTTTATTTCGTGTCACGTCGCGGGTCGTGTCGAGAATTAACAGACCTATTTATAGCGATTTCTATGGACGGGAACAATCAGACCCTCCCTATAGCATTTAGTCTGGGCTTGGAAAATAATGTCGACTTTTGTACATGGTTCCTGATGAGGTTGAAGGAAGCTCTCAGAGAGGGTAGGGAAGTATCGTTCATAACCAATATGGACGATGTCATTAGTTCTTGCATAAGTCAGGTATTCCTTAATACTTATCTTGGGTATTGTTGTAAGAGTGAGTTCATGTATTTGCGAACAAGAATCGGCGGAAACAAACAATTAGAACATTTGTTCTTCCCTTCATGTGAATCTTATAATATGTCTAATTTTGCAACAAGCATTCCGTCAACCCATGATGCACGTGAGGTGCTTGCCAATATCGGTCATGTGAAATGGGCAAGACCCTATTTCCCTAACATTCGTTGGAATGTAATCAACATTGATATTCCATAATTTATGGTGGTGTTATCGGTTAATCAACATAATACTGATAATAACGCTTACTGAGGCAATTCGTGACTACATTCAACGGACTTTTGTTGAACGCAGTTTCATGGGAGGTAAAATTGGGTAAATATTGAATTATTTAATACTTGTACAATATCCCTAAATGATAATATATATTTTTCAGGGAGGTTGACTAGCATACTCACCCCATATGCAGAGATGGTGTTTCAGAGGAGGATGCAAAAGACTGTTCGGTGGCAAACAACAAAGATCCCGCCTGACATTTATCAAGTTTTTTATTTTAAAACAACTTATGTTGTAAATCTGAACCACCATACATGTTCATGTGGGAAATGACACATTCTGTGCAACAACCGGATTTCCAGGTATCATAATTTAAATATTTGTTTTGAGTTGAGAAGAGGGACTCGACGAGTTGACGCCTAAACTCGTCGAGTGGGATCGCGAGTCAGTGAGATGACTCGACGAGTTGGTTAGTGTTTTCCCGAAATTTTGGACACTGCATGGACTCAACGAGTTGTCTGGAAACTCGGCGAGTCGACTAGGGTTTTCACGACTTCTTGAGTTCTGAAGGAACTCGACGAGTCAACAAGTTACACTCGACGAGTTGGGTCAACATGGACTGTTGACATTGACCGTTAACTTTGACTTTGACTAAGGGTTAACCAGTTGGACTGTTGAGGGTATTTTGGTAATTTGGGAATTTATGGAAGTGGACCATTAGTGGTTATAGGTGTTGGTGTTTGGAGCCATGTTCTGGGAGTTTGACATTTCAGTTCCGATAAACATTGGGAGGTGAGTTTTTCTCACTATACTCAAGGGTCGAAGGCACGAAGGTCGGCCCTTTGGATTGTTATCCTGCTTTACTGCTAGTGTGATCTGTTAAATCGGTATCCTGGTAGATAGGATGTTCTATGAGGTTATGATCAGTTAGAATATATCCTGGTAGATAGGATGTTGCTATGCTTAGTGATCTGTAGATTGGTTTGTCTGTCTGTAGACTGTTATGTGATTATATTTAGTTGGAATATGGAGCATGTGGAGTCCCATTGAGGAATAGACATTAGATCTGGACCTTGAGAGGTC